GTATAATGATGTGATTGTGATGCTGTAATTCTGAGTGTTTTATGTGCTGCAGAACAGGAACCTGCTGTAAAACAGCAATTATGCTGAGTCAGGCTTGATTGTAATCTTTTCCTGTTAAATAAATAAATCAAATCAAATCAAATCAAAATATCTTAAACAGCCAACGTTTTCAGTAAAACAGTTAAGAAGTAGCTGGAAACATTTAAATTAGCATCAGGATGCATAAAGAGCACAAGTTTGCTGAATTTAGCAGAATTTAGTTGAAATTGCTCCAAAGAAATGTATAATAAGCATAGAACGCTTTCTGTGGCTAATAGCTGCTAAAATGTAGCTAAATCTGTAGCAAAAAGCTAAATAAAGAAGAAAGCAACTTTAAGAAGCATAAACAGAACAAATTAGCAGAAAAAAGTATAAGAAATGAAGATGAATTTAGTGAAAGTTTTAAATTAAAGTCATCGTGTTCACACCAACAGACTGTTTCCAGCTACATTCACTTCTCTCTCCTCGTTACCCAGAATCCTTCAGCAGCAGAATGAGGACCTGCGGCGGCGCCTGTCGCTCTCCACTCACAAGATGGAGGCCATGGAGGCGGAGTTTGAGGGCAGTCGTCACTACATGGAAGCAGAGCTCAGTCAGACCCGAGACGACTTGGACAAGATGAGGGACAAGTTCCGCAGGTCAGGAGTGGGTCCATGAAGCAGTTTTATGTTGTGCTGCTGTTAGAAACTGTTCTCTGCAGTCAGCTGATCATTACAGGAAGTTCATTTTAATATTCTGACTGAGTGGAGGTGAAGGAAGGGTTTTACTGAGGCTGCTTCATGTGGCCTGGCTACAACCCCGCAGAGTTGTGTCAGAGTTAAATGCACACAAATAGGCTGTGTGCCAAATGTAAATGTGTTGGCTCTCATCTGTGACCTGAGTTGTGTTCTGCCTGGTCTGACTCGAGTCCAGACTCGGCTCAGACAACACCAAGCTGACTCGGCTGTCACCGAGTCGAGGTCAGACTTGTCTGTGGAGTCCAGTGATCAGACTCACACTTGTCTATGGTCAGGCTGGGACTCGGCTGGACCTGTGGCGTAACTGGTCCTGTCTTTTTTCTGACTTGTTTACAGGGCTGGAAGTAATGAATTACTTTTACTTGTTACATGATGAAGTATGATTTATGTGTACTCTGTACTTTTTTGAGTGATTGTTCCAATCTATACTTTACTTGAGTAGGTTTAGGCATGGGACGGTATGAAATGATGACGGTATGATAACTTTGGACCAAAGTATCACGGTTTCACGGTATGATGGTATTATGATTACAGCTCTAAAAATTTAGTTTTGAAATTTGTATTTAAAAACAAAAGAAAATAACTTTTCTATTATCATATTCAACTTTAATTGTTTGGAAGCTGTTTTTAAATCTCAGAGGCGCTGTGCTGAAAATTAATTTACCTGTGTGCATCTGTACTTTATTGATTTTTAGCACCTAATGCAATTGGTTTATCCTGCTAAAGTAAGATAACTGCTTTATTAGTTAAGACAAATCAGTGTATACTGCTGAAGGGTAATTTAAAGTTTAGAATTCTGAACTTTATAATTTGTGGATATAATTAAATACATCATATTTACATATGCTATATTTAATTATATCTTTACCTCGGAGCACCACATTCTTAATTCGATCAGATCCTGACC